AGTCACTGGTTCTGTCCTTCTGACGTGGATCAATGATCCGACACCAATTAGCAAAGTGGATCCATGTTGTATCTCACACACCTGCCTCTCCCCTCTCTGTGCTGTCACTTCGTCTCTCCACAGGTTACTAAACACTCCTCCATCTTTCACCGTATGCTCTGCTGTCCGACCCTAACAGCTCTCTCTCTCTCTCTTTCTGTCTCTCATCCACCGCGCCGATCCGTCTCTCGCTCTGCCTTTCTGCCAAAGACCCTGACAGATCCTGACACACGATTCTTCATATCTCCCTCTCACTCCTCTCATTTCATTTTCCTCTCCTCTCAGTAACACTGAATCCCCCCCCGCCACCCACCCACCCTCTCCCCCTTTCTGTCCCTGGCAGCTTTCTGTTGCATCATTTAGCACCCCCACCCATGTCTCCCACCGCTCAGTCTAGCCTTGTGCATATGTGTGTTTGAATGCGTCGCTGTGATTGCGAACATGTTTATGTGTGAGCGTTTTTCTGAGGTTCTATTTGTGTAAACTGTCAGCCTCCGTTAGCTCTGCCTTTGGTCGTCCGCGGGACTCGGGGGTTTTGTGAATGTCTTCCTCTCAGCGGGGAGGACAAAGGGCCAGATGGGATTTTTCACAAAGCTCTCTATTTAGCATGAGTCAAACATGTGTCTCGTACAGAGCAACGCATCACTGAGTGGAGGGACGAGGACAATACAGGCCCGAGCGTTTCTGCCTCACTGCCCGGCAGTTCTCTCTACTGTGTCTTTCAAACTTGCATCGTCACTAACATGACAACTAGCAAGTGACATGTTGACACTTACAAGAACCATGCATATGAGGGTTGTCTGGTCTGCCACATTAAAGGCCCTCTCACAGCCGCGGCGTGACGAATAAATGACACGAAAATGCGGAAAAAACGCGTATCCCAACTATTCTAACTGGCAGTGATGTCAATTTGCAAACAGTTGCAATGCGATAAAAGGAACATGTTGTCTTTCAAGTGTTGGACGACAGCAAGTGGACTTTCCAGGGTTCAGACCTTTAGATCCACCCAATTCCACCGAGTTTGAGTGGACTGATTCATGTGCTGACATGTATGGAACAGAGCGGTACAGGACAACATGCTGACATTGAGTGTCACAATACGTCACAGCAGCAGTGCACATTTAGGGAAGTTTGACATTAGTTTAATGCCGTCGTTCAGAGAGTAGCTAATGGTGGATTGGTGGCTAAAATAATGAGCTCGACTGGAGATGACCACCCTAAAAAATCCAGACTGTTTTTCTCAATCATGTAATAAGGAGCGGTCCAAGTCGGGATGCTTTGTGTGGTATATTGAGAAGGTCAGCCACTGTGTTCCGTAACGAAGAGGGAAAAATAATCACAGACCGGTCCTCTCTCTGGCAAAGTAGTGAATAAGGGCCTCGCTGCCTGTACCAGGTTCTGATAAGGCGGAGAGAAGGCACATGTGGCTGCTTTCACTTCCTAAATTGTGTCTCTGTTATTCCACCTATTCCCCCGTCTCATCTAAGGGTTCACCCGCCGGCTGTGTGTCAGACAGCTAAATGAGCCACCCACTACCCCCACCCCCCCATCCGGCTTCCCAAACAACAGCCGATTCAAGGATGCCACAGACGCCGCGCCAAGTACACAATGAGTCATTATTTGGAAAAATCCTATTAGCCGATAGGCCTGCATACAGGTCCACCTGCAGTGATGTACATGTAACAACACAAATGAGTTTATAACCTTTATTCTAACAAACCATTTAAGCCATCATAGGCGCGGTGGCTGCAGGTGTGGGTCGACATTATTATTTCACAAATTAATGGTGCAGAATACGAGATTGGGAACATTTTTATTGCCTGTCAATGGCTCTCAACATGTGGGTGACTGAGTCAGCGTCTTGCAGCTAATGGTGCTAACAGCGCTAACAGTGCAAACTGCAGCAAAAGTGCTGACAAAACTAACAGCGTCTACCTTGCACACACCTCATACGCCTCTATCTTTACATAGCAAATAGTTGTTTGCTGCTATTCTCGGAATCCCTTTAACTTTTTTCTGCACCTTAAGTGCAGCAATCAGCTTTGTTCCAAGAAACTCACTTTCATTTCCAGAAAATGACTGAAAAACGGACCACAGTTTAGGGAATAAATGAAATGATCCCACCTCGCTGGTATGTTTTCCTTATTGTTTCAAGTAAAATAAGGGATAAATGCTGAGTAGTACATTGAGAATGACAGTATATATATATATATATATATATATATATATATTTTATATGTATGTACTTTGGGAACATCTTGTCAGCCATGCTTGTGAAAGTGTAAACGATATTTATCTAAGATTTCTATCGTTTCGGGTGTTTCTATCTCTTGACTCCACTGACTGGTCTGCATCAACATATTTGTGTGTGTGTGTGTGTGTGTGTGTGTGTGTGCACATGTTTGCATTGGAGTGCATAATGTGTTATATTAGCTTTGTTAAACAGATAAGGAAGATTACCCAGGTCCCACCTTTATATACAGAAGCTGTGCTGTGTTTCACTGAACTGGCTTCCTCAGTACAGCTGATGTGTGCACAATGAGGGAATAATGTAATCATCACTCCTGAGAGAGAACTGGACGCACGGACGCCAATCTACACAACCACACACACACACACACACACACACACACACACACACACACACACACAAACACACACACACTTATTCTTGAAACTAGAAATTGTTGTGGATGCACCAGATAGAGCTGGACTGCTCTCCCAGTTGTTGAATAATGCACGACAAGCCTTGTTTCCATGAGGAAATGATAAGCCTTCCTTCTCATGGTATAGAGGAGGCTTAATTACCCAGTCTCTGCGTAATCACATGGAAACAGCTTCCCACTCGTCTTATATTAAGCCTTTTATAGCTGTTATAGCTGAGGGGGCAGTCTTTTATGAATTATTGAACAATCTTGCAGTGCATACGTACATCTCACACAGCCTCACAGTGCAGCCGGGCAAACTTTCTTTAAAGGCAGTAGGGGGAGACCAAATAAATGACCTCCACTGGGCTATCGGCTCTCTTTCATGTGAGGAGTAGGAGCCAAATGTGTCCAATGCTTTTGCCTTTGTGTGGCTCAGGCTGCTGTTTTCACATTATGCCGCTGAGACTATGGAAACAGAATCAGAGTAGAACAGACATTTCCGTTCAAATCAATGCAGCAGGATGGTCAGACCGGTGGCCATTTGTTTTATCTGTGCCGTTGCTATCGCGGGCTAACTTCTGTACAGACTAAACCGACTTACGGCAAGTCGCAGATTCACCGAGGTGAGGTTCTGCAGTAAGAACTCAAACGAGCAGTGGATGCAGAGACAAATGTAGTCGCAAAATCGGAATTCGATAAGAGGTGAGATCAAGACGAGACTTGTACATTTGCAAGAGCAGTTTTTTTTGACAATGCCTGTACTCTTGTGTAACGTTTGGCTAAATGCTACCTAATATGGTGAGATATTGCCCGTGTGCGGTTCTTGGCTCCACTAAATGTTAACTGACATGGTGGCGCTAGAGAGCCAGAGTAAATGATTACAATTAAACAACTTAATGCTTCATGCACACACACTTGTGTAGGAAAGCTCATTGCTCTTGCCAGATGAGACAACTTCATTCGGTTAATGCTACACTGGTTACAGAAAATGAGCCGAACAGCAGGCTGGTGGTCAGCGGCAGCGCAGGGTCTAATGGTCCCTCCGCTTCAACTCCCTTCGCTCCAGAGAAGGACAAGCTAACTAGCTAACTAGCCAGCCATCCGTCTCCAGAGCTGCAACAACACCTTCTGCTTTACGGACGTGTGTCGTCACCATAACTGCTCACTTCTGCTTTTTCTTTTGTACTGGTCAAATGTACTATAACTATAACTGTTTAATGTCCGTTGTACTCCTATTCTATTTCTACGGCTAAGACATTGAGCCACCAAGCAGACATTCCTCACCAGACATTCAGTTCTGTTAAAACTGTTGCTGAGCTTTGGGGGGAAAAAACATGCATATGTGGAATAAACTAGATTTCTAAACGCATGGGACATACAGTGCTATTTCTGAGTCCATTTTCTACTGTACGTGCTCCCTTGTACAAGCACTGTTACATCACAAGCAGTGCGGTAACAGTTCTCGTAGCACTCCTCCGTTAGTAGTTTCTCTCCGGGGGTATCAAGCACAGGCTCAGGTGAGACCAGCCAACATCATGTACAAGATAAAACCATTAGACTTCCTGCAGCTGGAGATGCAACACTGACGGTGACACACTAACGCTCTCGCTTGTCTCTCTTGATGGTTACAGATTATCTCTGTACGTATGTGCACTATTTACCCTCCCAAGTCAGGGACGCTTCATTACACTACTTTAAAAATAAATAGCTTTGAGCTGCCAGTTAATTCACACAGGACGATATTAAACTATGGCAAAGCTTCCATCGAGGGAAATAATATTTTCTTAATTTAACTACTGAAAAAAACTACTTTATTAAAGTATTCGATATACTACTGTCATGTAGTTCAATACAAAATGATACAAGTGAACAATAAGAGATAATTATCATTTTTCTGTTTGTGTGTTTCTCTTGCAAATTATGCATTGAAATGACAAAACAATACACCACTTAAAACACTATATGTGGAATTGGCTGAACTGAACCCAAGCTACTATAGAATGTGATTAGAATGGATCTCTTGAAATCTTTAGGTTTTATTATGACAAAGAGCATCTTTTCTTTTCCTAAAGTGCTGTGATGGCCCAGTGGCTACAATTTATTCCCTCTAAAAAAAATCTAAATTCACTAGTGAAACCAAGTAAATTTTCCTTCTCCTTCCATGTTTGTTATTGTCCAACCTGAACCACCTCTCAGCTGTCCCTCGTTGTCTGTAAACTGTTTTTTTCGTGAGCAAAAGTTATTCACATGCAGTGAAAACACTCCTGCACGCTGCCTCCGGTCCTTTTTGCACGTCTTTGTTTGTCTTCATACCTGGATGCCCTCTGTGCCGGGCTGCTGCAGCAGTTTGACGGTGCGCGTGTGCGCCGTCGTCCTCTGGCCGCGGCCGTCGTGCCAGGTCAGGTTGCTGCCTCCGGCGCGACGCGGCAGCTGGTAGCTCAGCTCCTCAGCAGACACCGTGTGCTCCAGGGAGGCACGGCAAAAGCTGAAGCTGGACGCCGCTGAGAGGAGAGAGAGAGAGAGAGAGAGAGAGAGAGAGAGAGAGAGAGAGAGAGGAAGAAGAGGAGACAGAAAAAACACCGATAAGCACTCACTTTGTATTGTCTTTGCTTATTAAGGGGCTTGCGTACACATTGTCTATGGACTAAGCGAAAGGGAACACCTAAAACAAACAAAATAATTGATAATCCTCTAAGAGGATTCACTGCCTTCACTCCCGATGACTTGCTTTGTGTGCTGACTCTCATACAGCTACAAACAGATGGCTGTTTTGGTGATGGTGGTGGGCAGCAGCCAGTGCTACTCCACTGTGATCTCCAATTATGTTGAGAGCATATTCACAGAGCAAGCGCATGATTGTTTTTTGGGGAATTGTGTCTCTCTTGCTAGATTAATCCATGATTATTTTAATCCTGCATCATGACTATATATTTGTTTATTCTTCCCTCTCTCTCTCTGTCTGTCCTTCCCTTCCTTCCTTCCCTCTCAGGAGTAGGGTGTTAGCTGTGAGACAGCGGAGCAGACAAGTTGTCAATGCAGGGTCAGAGTACAGCTCCGCAGGAGCCGCAGGGCATCTCGGGCATCAAGTTGAACAGGCTTCTGTAGTGTGGTCGGTCGTCTGTGACAGTGGGTTCATTTTGAAAGGGGAAGAATACCGAGACACCAATGTATTAGTCATGTGACTGATAAAAGAGGATCTGACGGCACGTCGGCCAGACCCAACAGAGAGGAGACAGTGGAAAGAGGGCAGGAAAAGGTCAAGAGAACGCATGACGGAGTCAGCTTTATGGAGTCACCTGATACCGCAACCACGAGAGGTCCATGCATCCATAACTGGACACCAAAACTATTATGCAGTTTGCTGCCGCAGAGTGAGAGATTAGCTGTGGATGGACACAAAGCTGCACACTCACTCACTCATGGATGCACGCAAATATCGATTGCATGATTGTTCTGGTGGAGATAATAAAGTACAAATACTGCATGATAGGCATTGATATACTTTGAATGCGCCACTGTTTGTTCATGTTATAACAGAATTCTTGACTCATGTAAACGCAGCTTTGCAGTGCATGTGAAGCAGACTCCCATGTTGTGTGTCAACTGGATTTCACTCTCAAATCCCCCGATTCGTGTGTGTGTGCGTGTAAAAGCAATCATTGAGAAGGAGACAGAATTACTGATAAAGGGGCTAAAAGTGGAACAAGGCATAATAAATGTTGCATTCATTACTTTTAAATATGAGAAGAAAAAGTCTCTTAAGAGCAGAACAGTGTCAGAGCATTCTTTGAATGAATTCTTAATTTCATTTCCTCCCTCTTCTCTGAGGACCGGATTTAAAACAAAAAAGAGAGATTGGATTTATTTGAATGTGTTATATAAGTTATACGTTATACAGTATAAGGTCTTTCCAGTGTGTCTTTGTTATGTTGCTTTCTTTAGGTGATATTTTTATTTTTATCATCCCACACCTGGTAAATAGGCGTGAAGATATAACTAACGAGACATACCGTCAAAAATTGGATGTAAAAACAAACAATACAAGTGAAACCTGCCATTCCTTTCACCAACAACAAGCCATCCTGGACAATTGACCCTTCGCTAAGCCCCGCCCCCCTTCTGCTACTCCGCCACACTGTCAGAGCCACGTTACCACAGAGCCCACACTGTCACTAACTGCACTCCATGAGGAAATAGTATCAAATTTGGAAAAAGGGGAATTCAGAGAGAAGCAGACAGAAGGGTCTACAATATGTGTTTGAAGGATGTCAAACTGATTCATCAGTGAAAACAGGTTAAAAAGACAAAGAAGCTAAAGCTACAGATCACAGAGTAACAGTGAACCAACACATCACCTGGAGATCCAGACAGACGACAGTGAAACTAAAGAACAACCCTGTTCCTCTTTATTCACTGTTACGATCATTAAAAAGATAAAGCAGCATGTGTACAGTAGCATATAAGTGCTAACGCTAGTTAATGATGTGCTAACATGCTCTGCTGTTAGCTCCACAGGTTATGAGGTAAAAACGTGGCGTTTCAGAAACGTATATCTCCTTCCAGCCTCTCTGGTTAACGAGTATCACTGTTACACAACGTTTAAACAGGACGAGCTCCAAATCCACTAAACCAGCCTGAACATGAAGAACATCTGAAACCATAGAATGAGAGTCTGTGGAGCAGAGCCGCATGGTCATCAGACTCTGGTCAGAGCTGGACGATGCTACGCTATGATTAGCCAATCTGTGTTCCCACTTCAGAATGATCAGACCGCTGAGAGCTGCTGTGTTACAGCTGTGGCTTGTGGGAAGCTCCTGGTTGCAGCTGAGATAAGTGGAGGGGAGTGGGAGGGGGGGAGGGGGGGGGGTGCACTTTTTCTCAACCCAAAGTCAGCGATGAATGCAGAGTTCACACTAGACATGATGGAGGAATAAAAAAAAAAGAGGTTGGAGATGAAAAAACAAGAAAAGGCCCGACAGGAATCACTGATGTGTAACCTTCTCTCCCCTCGTACACGCTTTTTTCCACATTTCTATATGCTGCTACTTCTCTATCTTCTCATGCAGCAGTATCTTTTTATGTTGCCCTTCTTCTCTCTCCCTCTCTCTCTCTCTCTCTCTTTGTTTCTGTCTGCTTGTCAGGTCTTTGTGGTCGTCGGGACAAACCGAGCCCAGCCCTGATGTAATTACTGCTAGTCAGACTAAGGGGGAAGGAGGAGACGGGAGGAAGGAACGTGGGAAGCTAAGCGCCTTGTGACCCTAAAGACCTGCCAATCTCCCCGAAAAGAGACAAGAAAAAGAGAGGGAGAGGGAGAGAGAGAGGGAGAGCGGCACTGTAAATTAGCACTGGATCAATGCGCACTGACAGTACGCTGATTAAAATGTGGCGAAGTGAAAGAAGCTCAAGAGAGGAGGCAGGGAGACGCGTTAATAGACGAAACAACTTCATTTCACAAGCTGTTGAAGGCGGGTGCTTTCCAATTATCAGACAGAGACCGCCCTGCACTTTATGGACATCGCTTCGTAGGTGAGGACGTGCAGCATCATGACTTTCCGGGTTTCACCGACATCTCAATAGCCTCGACCTTTTTTCGACCTTCGGCGGTCATAAAAACTAAGACGGAGCGTCTCTTCCTCGAGCTTCAATGGAGTCGGTCGACTGGACCTCCTGATACAAAACGTGGTGAAATGAAGCTCAAGCGTGAGTTCAGTCAGGGAGACTGTTGTTGTGCAAGTTCAGGCCTGAGGTTTGACAGGTGTGAACGGAAGCATTATTTTTTCAGGTTGTCCGTCCGTCCGGTTCATTCTCGTGAAATCTCAGGAACGCCTGGAGGGAATATCTTCTGCTCATGCCCAGAACGTTACTTCTCCCTCTGAACCCTAATCCCGGTGGGATGGTAAATTATGTTTTCTACAATAACAATCGGCAAAACTAAACCGTTTATCACAGCCAGAAGTTGTCCAAACTCTCATAATCGCCAGATTTTCATCCTTCCGGGGGTCCTTAAACACATCATGTGTGACAAACGGTTCCGTCAGCAACAGAAACAGAAACTAAGCTAAAAAATTGTGATATTTCATCGAAAACATTTTACTCTACAAGTCTCATTGAAAATATCGTTCCAAATGAACCGTTTGAAGTAACCAGATCTTGTGAAAAACATTAAATTCTGAGCTCCTCAGTTCAACTATGAAGACATGATTGACTCACAAGAGATCAACTTTTGTCACAAACTTTAACTGAACTTCAGGCTGATGATCACAGAGAGGAGAGGAGTAAGTCGAGGCTGTAAAAATATAAATAGATAAATATTTATAGCACGTAGAGATTTTTTCCAACATCGATTACTCTCTTGGACACTTGTAACAATGTTGGATGTACAGATTCCATTGTTTTACAATTTTTGTAAAAGAAATTATCAAAGAAAGTCAAAAGACATGTTTGAGTTCTTTCTACTTCTATCCATGATATCACTGTTTCCATAGAGGAGCAGCACTTTTATACTGAAGTGAAAATCAAAAGCCACAGAGAGACAGATGTGACAAGAGCGAAAAACGCCCCGAAACTGCTTTAGGGTTCAGAGGTTAATAGGTTGCTCGAGAAAGAAAATTTCTTCAAATTTGAGGATGAACTGAGAAGAATTCAGTGGTCAAATGTTAAAAATCAAGGTCATTGTGACCTCACGTTGTGAATGTGATATCTCAGGAACTAGAGATTCATATTTTTTTGTTAAAATTAAACTATCACGGGAAATTGAGTTGTTTTTAAGCTGTAACTTCAGCTCCAGTAAAAACTCTTTGTGCATATTACAAACACTTAATGCAACAAGGATAAAGATGCATAAACCGACCGCTTCAATGTATCATTTGGTGGCATTAATAATCATTAAAGCAAAAGTAAACTGTTTGTTTGTCAACATCAGAATGAGCCGTGGTGTCCTTTGTTTCACTGAGACTCGGCTGCAGAGCGCCGCTCAAGCAGGTGAGTCTTTTTTCTGTCTGGTGGAGCAGAGACTCCGGCGGGAGGTAATAAGGAGGCTGGTGCTCATGATGAATAATGCACCAGTTGAAGGAGCTGACAGGGGGGGCGTTTCACTGGAGTTGGACAAATAAATTGATTGATTGATAACATAAAGTTTTGCACGCAGGTTGAACTTCGCTATAGCCGCGACCTTGAGGAAGATATACGTGACAATTCTGGCTTTGTATAAGAAGACTGGATTTTTTTTCAGTCATTTGGCATTTGAGTCTATTTCTCTCTTGATTTGTTACCTCAGTAAACATTGTAAACATGAGTTTATGGTCTCAATCTCTAGTTTCAAGTCTTCTTCAGTACAGCATGATGTTCATTTAGTACATTATGGTCCATTTAGAGTCAAACAGACCATAAAGCAGGGGATGCGTATACTTTACGGCGTCTCTACGTCACTCCTCCGCATTCGAAATATGGTAACTTTTGTTCATTGGCTTCATAATGGCAGTCTACAAACCAATGTGTGATG